TTCACTAATTCATTTATATACATCTTCTAAGTGAGATGTGGAGTTAAAACACTTGCAATAATATGGATTGATTACTCAGGGCTATAATCCTACTTTTCACATAGCTCTAAGGTCATTTTAATCTGTCTCATATGGTAGATTTATATTTGAGATGTTCTGTCAACTCTTATTTTCTTCCTGGCTGGTAGAATGTCATTCTGATATGATGTCATAGACATTCATAGAATTAAAACAGTGATGTAAGTCTGGAGAGAAAAAACATGAATTCTACTAATAGATTAATTAGCTTGTGGCTATTGTTTGTTTCTGCTTTTGGAGACTGGGCTTCACTATGATGCAGCCCAGGCTGTCCTTAGACCACAGTAATCCTCTTGCCTCACCCTCTCCTGAAGGGCTGGTATTACAGATGTTTGCTCCCATGCCCAGCTAATCTTGTGGATTTTAAATTAGAATTCTAATATGGGTATCAACACAGTTTTGCAAATGTTGAAGGACAACCACTGCTCTAAGATATTTGATTGAAGCATTGCAGTATAATAGAATTTTATTTTATTTTATTTATTTATTTACTTATTTATTATTATTATTATTATTATTATTATTATTATTATTAGTTTGAGACAGGGTCTCCGTGTAGCCCCAGCTGTCCTGGAACTCACTATGTAGACCAGGCTGGCCTTGAACTCACAGAGATCCGCCTGCCTCAGAAGCCTAGACCCTGGGATTAAAGGCGTGCACCACCATGCCCGGCTGTATAATAGAATTTTAAATCATAAAGCAGAATTAGAAGTTTTGTGTAATGTTCAGAGGAAATTAAGTCCCCCAAAAGTTAAGCAACACACTTGGGATCACACAGTTAATTAGCTGCAGAGTCAGAAGTAGGATCCAGGACGTAATTACTGAACTTTAAAGGCACCTCTTACTTTCAAAGCAAAATTTTCCTCTTCCTTATTTTCAATGGCCACTCCCTCTGTTTTGTAGAGGCCGGGGATCAATGTGGATTGTGTTATGTAATATATAAAAAATAATCACTTATAATAGATTGTTAAACAGAAACATGCATGAAATAAATATAGGAAGTTAGGTTTCATAGTCACACATTACACAAAATTTGAGGCATCGATATGAACTTGTTGCTTCCATTATTTTTACCTCTGGTTAAAAAAAATTATATCTCTTGAGTAATTCAAATAGGAAAGAAAACTGGTTTCAGAGTCTTACCAACCCACCTTGGAGCTCGGCTTCCGGGGGGCTGCCGATCCCGTGGTTCCACAAGATGGCAGTGTCGTACACGAAAGTTAGACGGAGCTCTGACTTCAAGTCAAAATGCTGCCAGCCTCCGACCCCCACAGGGGAATGGAACACATAGGACACGTACAGAGGAACTCGAAGGGTCACATAGGATTGCACTAGGTTTAGGACCTGAAACAACGAAATTGTTCCCATCAACGCGACTCAGTGTAAACTAAATCATACTTTGTACAAGCCATCCTCTCTCATGTCACTGAAGATTCTGTATGATCAATGAGGAAAGGAAATGACAGGATTTTCCAAGCTCCCATCACTTCATTTTGGGTCAGTTAAGTTGTTACTAACCATGGTCATGTGTAAACTAGCAATTCTAAACATAAACAGTATTTTCAGCAAACTATACTCACTAGCCTTTTAATCCTTTTTACTTAATAGAAGCTGTGTTGAGATAGTTTTCATACTGCACAATTCAATAGTTTTTACACCACACAATTCAATAGTTTTAGAAATATTTATTTATGTGTGTGAGTGTTTTCCCTGCATTTATGTTAGTGCACCTGTGCATGCAATGCCTGCAATGCCTGCAGATGCCAGAAGAGGGTGTCGAAAACCTTGCAACTGGAGTTACAGGTGGTTGTTAGCCACCGTGTGGGTGCTGGGAACCAGCAGTCAGTGCTCTTAACTGCAGAGTCATCTTTTTTTTTCTCTTTTTTTGAGACAAGATTACTATGTAGCCTTGACTGGCCTAGAATTCACTTTGAAGACCAGGCTGGCCTTAAACTCACAGAAATTCTCCTACTTCTGCCTCCCAAGTGTTGGGATTAAAGGCTTGCACCACCACACCTGGCTTTTTTTTTTTTTTAAATTATACAGAAGAAGGTAGGAGGAATAATAAAGATATGAAAACAAATACAGTAATGACATGAGACATTTACGATGACTCAAGAATAGTTAACATGAATTGTCTTTGAATTTTATGTTTTCTTCAGGTGTTTGTCAGATGGGGTAGCAGGCAAAAGAGGATAAATTAATCTTTATTTATAAAATATTTACCAAATTTCAGACAATGTGTTGGTTCCTAATAAAAGTTATATAATATTTTCACTCATTATTATATTTGTATGTATGCATGAGTGGTTTGATGAATGGATGGGTGATGTATAGAAAAAGAGGTAGAAAATAAATCTCAAAGAAATTAGACAAGTTCAGTAGAATTCTTTAAAACCTCCTGAGTGGCCTGCCAAAACTGGAACCTCTTTTCTGGCCCATGCTTACCTACTCTCCCACATGTCACTGAATTCCAAATAACACTGAGGGCAGTCCCAAAACCATCTAACAAAAATTACTTAATTACAGTCTGGAGACAGAGGCAGCAGATCTCTGTGAGTTCAAGGCCAGCCTGGTCTAAATACTGAGTTCCAGGACAACTGGGGCTACAGGGAGACCCTGTCTCAAAAAGACTAAAAAAAGAAACCCAGTAGTCACCTTGTATTCCAGAAAGCACAAAAGCTGGACAATCAGACAGCTCACTAAGAAGCTGTAAGGACAGTAGAACAAATACAACTAGCCTCTTCTGTGCGAAAGGAAAGGGACAGCTGACACTTCTTAGGCTGTGGGATGCTGGTGTCCTGCACAGAGCTGACAACAGGGGTCAGATAGATTTAAATCATAGGACTATGCTGTGGCATGCCATTCTAGCATGGAGTTAAACGTAAACCTCTCACATCTCACAAATGAGAGGCTGAATCAGTAGCAGAAACGTATAAGACGAGAACAGAGGACAAACAAGCTGCTTGGTTCTCACCCATGGGAAGATAACCTTCCCCTCTCTGCTAGCTGGGTGGGGCATCAGGAAAGGGATTTTGCAAGTTGAACCCTTTGAGATGTGTTTTCTAAGAGTGGCTACCCAGCCCTAAGTGATGCATCCACAATGCGACGTTTACACCTAAGGCTCAGGGAACACTGCAGAAGAGGGGTGGGAAGATTGTAAGAGACAGAAGGACAAGACACCTGCTGCTAGTTGACACATTGTAGACATGACAGGGGAGCTGCACCAATGAAATCTCTATAGTAAGGTGGTCTAGATCAGCATAATGACAAAACCAGTGCACATGCCAAGGTGGATGGGGGAATGTCAGGGGGTCCCACCTCAGATGAAAAGCTACAGGCAATCAATGGATGTTGAGGGAAGGAGAATCAGTTTTCTCCAGGGACTAATGCCAGGAGAGGTTATCTGATCCCAAGTGGGCAGCCCTAAACACAGGTACACATGAGCACCACTAAATGGACTCAGTGCATTATACATATATATCTACTTATAAATATATGTGTGTATATGTAACAATAATCATCGATTAATAAGACAAGTCATTGGGCCGGAGTTGAGGCGTGGGAGGAGCTGTGGGGGAGGAATGGAAATACTGCAGATACAATACTCATGTACGAAATTCTCAAAAACAGAAAAGGATAAAAACACAGTATCTTCTAATTCTGAATTAGCAGTGCATTCCTTCACTGTGGAGATGCTGACCATCCCATCTGTAATGTTTTATCCAGAGCTCTTAGAAATTTGCATTCGCCTTTTAAATCTTAGCTTACCATGTGAAGCATATCTCCACATAAACAGGGGCTTCTTTCCTTGACTTTATATGACTAATTACTAATTTTCAATTTTAATCTTACAACTTGTACTGTAAATTATTTCTATAAATCTTATCATTTTTGTTCTTGTTATTGCTTACTGTTGAATCCTTATGAGATAAATAACCTATTACCAGCTACAATCCCTTTTACTTTGTTGTACCTTTAACAAGTAATTGCCTTTGGCTAGTAGAATATATTAGTGCTCACATTTTAAATAAATTTCCCTTTCATGACGTTTCAGATATTTTTAAAAAGTGGCTGTAATCCCTGAACAATTGATTTCTGAAGGGCAGTGTTAACACTCAGGCTGTGTAAGAGAGTGACTAAGTCACCCTGAATGCCACTGGTAATTAGGATTCATAATTCATCCTGTGAATTAAGAAACCGTTACTTAAAAATATTAGGCTGTAGGCATGGATTTCCAATTAAAAAATGTGTTACAAATGACTTTTGGTAATATTAATACATACTCTATCAAATGTTACGAATAGCACTATTTTGGAGACAATTACTAACATTTACTCTTTGTAAGTTAATTGGAATACAGTTTCCTGAGTAATTCTCATTTCATTTTATTTTTAATTTTTTTTTTTTTTTTTTTGAGACAGGGTTTCGCTCTTAGCCTGCCCTGGAACTTACAATGTAGTTCAGGCTGGCCTTGTACTCTTGGCAATCCTCCTGCCTTAGCCTCCTGACTGTTGAGATTACAGGTATGAGTCACACATCTGGCTTGATTTTGTTTGATGCCTGAGGTAAAATATGATGATTTCTGGATGTAGAACCTACACCTTACTGCCTTTTCTTTTTCTATAGGGCCAAGATTTTTTGTCTACTTAGAATCTCTGCCTGGGGGGAACCAGAGCTGAAATGTTATTACCTCATTCAGGTCACCTGCCTATTTTTTCCTTCAACTGAAGACTGCAATGCAATTAATAATTTTTAGACATCTCCTTAAAGAACATTCAATTTCTTTTAGCCTTTTTCCTCAGGACTTTTGAAGGTATAAATCTTCAACTGAAGCCCAATGAGTTACCTGACATGCCTTATTGACATTTGAAGTAAATCAACAAAGTTGAACAACACTTTTAAAGAGCATAATAGAAGGAAAAGTATAAAATGCAAATGCTTTGTAGGAACTATTGCCAGATTGATATTAGTGCAACTGAGGGCCCAGCATGTATTTGGAGAGGATATCACCTGCCTAATGGTCTAAGAAAGGCTGGCACTCTGTGTGTGAGATGAATGGGGAAGGGGATGAAGAGCATTATAGTGCTTCACACATTCAGCCTCCATTTTGAGTGCTCAGTAACCACACACAGCCGGTGGCTGTCATACTGGACAGCACAGACCCATGTTCCAGGGGATCCAGTGGCCTCTTCTGTCCTCTGCATTGCAGGACACGGGTGCACTTACCTACATGCAGGCAATACATACATACACATAAAATAAAACTAATAAAATAAAAAAGAATATCTTTAAAGAAAAGAAAGAATCATTGAAGGGGTACCCCAATTGCCTCACCCTGCATCCCTGTTCAGCATGGAAGAAGCCAGAGCGGTCAGCGTCCCGATCCCCTATTGGCAATTTGGATAACCTATCTAGGGGATGGTATGATAAGAATAGGAGGTAAGAATTGGCTAGGCAGTTAGGGTAAAAAGACCCCAAAGAAAAGTAGCCAGTTACTTGGCTAAAAATCAAAATGTCTTTGGGCCTCTTAGCAATATACTCTGTTCCAAAGGACAAAAATGTCAAAAATATTTGGGCGCTCTTATCTTATCCCTAAAAGATTTTAGGGTTACTTCTTCAGAGGAGGTAATGTTAAGAGCAACAAAAAGTCCCATTTAAAAAAAAAAAAAAGAGTACAGGAAGATATGGGAGGAGTTGGAGGGGAGGGAGTGGGTGTGGATTTAATCAAAACACCTTACATGCATGTATGAAATTCTCAATAAAGTTTTTAAAGTTAAAAAAAGACAGAAAGAGAAAGAAAATAAGAACCATTTAAAACCATTTTATCCAAACATGTATATGCCACTTTCATGCATGATATGTGTATGAGTATTTACCTTAAAGATTGAAAACTCAGAACTGTTAGAATTCTTCCTCAGGGCTACCACTGGTAGGGAATGACCCCTTTGCAACAAGTTTCTCTTGCCCCTTTTGTTGTGTAAACATCTTTATCAAGACGGAAGTAGTGAGGGATATGTACAGAGGTCATCAATCTCAAAAGCTTCAAGTCTCTCAGTGTGCACTTAGCAGCTCAACTGAGGTGACTGTTTTAATGACTTAGAATTCTTAGTCAAGGTTCTCAGGCCTAGCTCGGGCTGTGCAGCCTGTGCATCAGCCCAGCCACATGAGGCCCCAGATCCCTACCTGCCTGAACTGTCCTCACACTCCCCAGGCTTAGTTCAGGTAGTACAATTTGCATGCTAGCCTAGGCAGACCCAGCCAGGAGTCACAAATACCTGCTTTCTCCATGACCACTGAACTGGAATCACCCCTATGCCTCCAATCAAAAATCAACCCCAAGT